TTTTGGGAGGTACATAATGAAATGTCTTAAAGGTTATATATGGAGTTTTTTCTCCTCGGGGGGTCAACCCATGAAGGAGGCATTCTCTTACACCCCCCGCTCCAAGAAGAGTTTTTCCTTTGTGAGGGCTGGAAGGGCAGTACAGGAGCAGCTCTGCAGGCTGTGCTGTCCTGTCGTGCTTAGTCTGTGACCTGTGCGCTGCCTGCCTGGTGTCCAGCTGACTGCTTGCTCTCGGTGCTGACAGCGCTTTGTTCTTTCAGGAGATTTTTCTAGGATGTTGGCTTGCTCTCATGGTGCCGTTGCTGAACATCTAATTTCCCAAACCACTGTTGTTTATAAGGGTCTGTCTGATTAGAGCATCTGAAGTGGGGTGGGAGGGATGGAAGCAGTAACATGGTAGGGTTGAGCCTATGATGAGGAGGAAAGCTCTGGAGGTCCGATCAAAGCTGTTGAAATGGTCAACTCTTTTCTTAAACAACAAAAACCTACACTCTGGTTTCTACTGTTGTGTTCATGGTCTAACTGCTTCCTGTTGCTTTCTGTTTCATCTTCACTACTGGTGCTTCTGCTTTCACAAAATGGCTGTTACTGTACTGTTGCTGGGCAAAGCCAGATTTGCAGGCTAGAAAATAAAAGTAATGTCTTGTTTTATCTTAAAGTCCAAAGATAATTCTGATCCCCTCTTCAGAAAGCCCTTGATGGTAGTCTTCATCTTTCACTTAATCAAGGCAAATTAATTCTGAAATATGTTCTCGATGAAGAGTTAGGTCAGCAGGTCTGAGACATTAGTGGCAGGCAGATAAGAAAACCACAGTGTTGACTAGAGCTCTTTTTGCAGGAGTGGAGTATCGGAGGCTTGTTTGCTATGGAAATGTTAGAAATTAGAATATCCTGATGGTTTTTTTTCTCTTTGACAGATTGTTTAAAGAACAACAGTGAGGGATTATCAAATTCTACTGTAGAATTCCTGGATTTATTCAATAAGTCTTTGACATGTTTTGAACATAACCTTCAGGTAATTTATGCTGTGTACTTCAGAGAAGCACTATATCCTCTAATTGCCAGCAGAATCTTATTTATGCTGAATAAACTGTAGATACAGATTAGGCAAATAAATTGCTGGTGAGTCTGAGAATTTTAGGCAGATAAAGCAATGATCTGTTAAACAGATATTTACAGATTGAGAGCATAACATTAATTGTAATTGATATTCACCTTGACTTCATTTTGTATGTAATTGCAATGCTGCTTCACATCAGAATTTCTGAATTCACGATAGTTGATAATTGTATAGTAAAATCTGGCATGTCTGCATGCTATAAGTCTCTTTTTCTATATCTTTGTGGAATTGTTGTCTTCTAACTTAATTCAGTTGTTAAATAACCTCTTGCTAATATAGACTAGCTCAGAAAGACCAGCTACCTCACATCATAGTAACGATTCTTTTGACTAGTAAAATTATGGGTGGTTAAAGCTTGTTCATATTGCAGAAGCAGTATAACCTAATGAAACAAATGTGGTAATTGTGCTTAAAGAAATGCCCTAAATAGCCTAAGAAACTGTGCATATTCCATTTTAAACAGAAACTGGCCAAGTTCCAGAGTTGTTCAATAGTAAAAATGGGAAATGATAGGTATAGGCTGATCTCTGAGGAAACTGTTGGGTTTTTTAAAATCATTAATGATATCTAGGAAGTATGTCCTTAGGCTTTGGTCAGGAGCAGTATGGACTGGCCTGCTGGTCACCTCAAGTGTCTGAACTGGAACTTAACCCAGTGGTTGGTCGGTAGCTGGTACAACCATTACTGGGTTGCAGTATCTGTCCCTGTCAATACAGCTCAGCAGCTGCAACCTGCCAGTTGTTGGGTATGGGCAAATAAACCCAAAAAACTATCAAGGAACACAATAGCTCAGGCTCCAGAATAACATTCAATTACTAGTAACTTATTTTTTTCTTCCTGGGAACTGGTATTATAAGAATAAGTGTTTAAATAAAAAACCTCTCTGCTAGTTCAAAGAACAGTTTGAGATGCACAACTTGCAGGAAATGGAACTTGTCCCTACTGAATTAGAGTTGGTCCCTTTTCCTGCTGCTTTCTCATGTGAGTTGTCCATCTGGGCCTCTACTCAATCCAGGATGCTAGAAATCAGGATTTTGGTTCAAACTTGACTCTAGTTTTTAAGTGGTGGCTTTTCTTAAATTTTTTTAATAATGCCTTAAACCAGCATTCATCCAGAGTTTTATAACCCTAGGGACAAACCATCCATCTGTCACAAAATAACTACACAGAAGTATGTAAAAACTGCAATGAAACCTACAAGATGTTGAATGACCTGTATAACAACTTGCAAAGGATGAACAGGCAAGGTGGTGAGTCTGGGCACTCCGCACACTTGTGTATCGACGTGGAAGATGCAGTAAGTATTTATTAATATTTAACAGGGAGACCTTGTTGTGGAGTTCTTCATTAACAGAAGTCATTTGTGCTTGTCTTGCTAGGGATTGCCTTTTCCCTTTAGCCTTGGCATCAGTGCCCTTGGCAGGCTCATATCCTGTGGGGGGCAGTTAGCTTATGTGGCTGTCTTGGTCTTGTCCTCAGTCAGTGCAGCAGGAGTGTGACTGAAGCTCCTGATCACCCAAATGCATTCCCATTTGAGAGGCAGCACTTCCATGTCTTGTTATTGTGAAGGGGATGGATTTAAAGAAAAAAGGTCCTTTATCTTCTGTGAAGCTTTACTGCTGTTGTTCTGGCCTGTGTAATAATTGATTCCTTATTACAGCAGCTGTTTCTAGGGGTCCTTAGCGTTGGCGACATATGTTTGGAAACAGCTTTGTTATATTGTGGGGGTTTAAGTGGTTTGGGCAAAAGGAGTGCTGCTGAAAGTATGGGATTATCCCTGTCCCTGAAAGCTGTCAGTGAGTTCTCTGGGAAACAGACATGTGCGATGTCTACAGTGTTTCCAAGTACAGTCTGGTTTTGAAGCTTGTGAAAGTTTTGATGTGAAATTTTGGCTCTGCTTAGTTGTCTGTTTCTACATTTCTGGGGATTTGTTTGCTTTGGGGAGAGTTTTCTGAGGTGGTATTTGAACACTTGAATGTCTTGAGACCTGAGTGTTTACCATGCTGCACAGCAGAAATGCATGTGCTTGCTTTCACAGCTTGCTTGTGCTTTTCTTTTAGATGAATATCACTCGGAAGCTTTGGAGCAGGACTTTCAACTGTTCTGTTCCCTGCAGTGATACAGTCCCAGTGATTGCAGTTTCATCCTTTATTCTCTTCCTACCTATTGTTTTTTATCTTAGTAGCTTCCTTCACTCAAAGCAGAAGAAGCGGATACTCATTTTGCGTAAGTGATGGTGCTGGCATTTCACTGTGAGAGCTGGGTGGTGCCAGGGACTCGCTTGGCTCTTGTGGGAGTGGGGGCCCAGCCAGATCTGCCTGCAGCTGTGCTGACGGCGCTAATAGCAACTATTAGTCTGCTGCTGCCCCCTGAAGAAGGGTAGTAAAGAGCTACAGCCATATCTTTTCATTAAAGTTTCTGAACGTGAACAGAAAGCTGTTTGCAAGTCTGTGTCGGATAAATAGAGGGAGTGGAGAGACTAGTTTTGTGGAATTCTTTGTGTTTAATTTTCATATAATTTTTCCCTTTCTAGCCAAGCGCATCCAGTCAAATGCCAGTCTTGTGAACATCCAAGAAAAATACAGCTGAGCTGCAAAACAAAACCTGAGAACTGCTGCTGGTATACAGTGGGTACAATTGTGTTGGAATGAGGCCGGCACAAAAGAGGAGTTAATTATGGTTTAGTGTAATGATACAGAGCAACACAAGTTAAACAAAATGCTGTCTGACTTCTAAGCGAGCATATTAACAAACATGACAAGGCAGGGCTGTGTGATACTGTATGGACTCTGGTTTTGAAAAATGTGTGGATTTTTTTCTTTCAGTCTCGGGCTGAAGCTGGTGTTTTTCTGTTTCTAAGCTTTTGTACTTCTCATCAATAGAATAGCTACACTTCTCTTGCATGGTATTTTTTCATATTTATCATACTTGTTTCCCAGAAACCTGAGATTCTGAATCTTTTTGAGATGATTTTCATAGACAGACAAAACTTGAAATAATATTTGATGTTCTTGCTTGAAACATGAGGTTTAATTCTACATAATATTCAGTCTTGCCAGTCTTGGGATGGACAGGAAACCTTTAAAAACATTCCCATCTTTCCTATACTGCTCTGAAGTCATGCTGCTGGTATCAGTTAAAAAAAAAGGCAAAAAGGCATGAAATACACAGAGAAAGTGGTAATATAGAATGTCCAAAACCAGCAACAAAAGCAACAGAACTGCCAGTGCTAGACTAGAATAGTAATCATTGATGACTGCAGTATTCGGTTATCTCTGAAACGGACGACGTACTTAGTCGTTTGCACACTTCAACCACTAAAATCATTGTTTTTCATATGTTAAGTTTTCAGAGGCTTATTTTAGATGTCTGTTTGGGTAACCAAATGCTTCACTCCTTGTCTGTTTATTGTGTTACTTCCTTTCCTTTTTAATTATAAATGGTGGGTTGTTTTCTTTTTGAGTATTTTGTTGTTTATGTAGAGGAGTGAGGTAAAGTCACGTCACTGGAGATGCTGAATTTCTTGGTCTAGAGCTTGCTGTGGCTTAATACTGAGGTGTGTTTACAGGAACTTTGTAGGGGAAAAGTTACCTTTTCTAGATAATACTTATTTTAGTGGTAAATGAACCAGGGAGTTCTCTAACTTAAAAACTGTCCTGAAGGACAATGAAGATACTGTGTTGGGAATTGAATATTAAAGGAATAGTTCTTACAAGAAAATTAAGCCTGTGAAATAGATGAATGTAAACAAATTCAAGCTTGCAGGATTCCAAAGCTAGTGGAGGAATCAGTACAGTTAACTGCAGGGATGGGTAGTGCTACTGACAGGCTGTGGGCGCAATTCGGCGGCTGCAGCAGTACTGATGGTTCAGGCTATTTATTACAGTACTGATGTGGGGGAGTGGTAGGGTTGAAATGATTTATAGCTGTAGTTGAGGTTAATGAATGCCAGAGTCTTTGCTGCCATTTTAAAATGTTTTCTCTAAACTTGAAATAAAAATGAATGGCCATTAGAGCCAAAAGATTAGATTTCTCTTGGAATCTGTGTGTCTGATGTCTGTCAAAAACCACTATGGAATAGTCCTATGTATTTGACATGCTTTGGAGCCTACAATGTTAAATTTTACCTTTGCACTAAGGCTCAAATAAATATGTAACAATGTAACAAAACAGTCCTAAAGCTCTTCAAATCATTGGTTTTTTTGTTCTTTCTTGTTATTTTTTTTGTGTGTTTTTACTGAGCTCTTAAGTCTAGTTGACAGTGTGTTTGATATCAAGTAAAATACTGTGTTAGCCCTTGGTCCCACCCACATGATTGCCTTTGTATTTTATCAGTCAGAAGTATTTCTCTCCCTCTGTTAAACACGTGAATTACGAGGTTAACAGTCAGTTTGTACTAGGTAGTTTACAACAGTGACACAGAACTGTTTCTCTTGGTTCTTATGTAAAGTTACCTTCTTGTGGCTGGGAGAGGCACACTGCCTTTAAAAGAAAAAAAAGGATTATTTTTTATATCTACTATTCTTAAACTTCAACTTTCTGGGACTTATTCAGCTGCCTGCTTTAATAGCATTACGTTGATTTGGGACATCATATGATTGAGAACTGTTCAAAGGAATCTTTCATTCGGTTAGATAAAGCTAGTTTGTATGTGCAGCATTTCAGAATGACTGCTTTTATACTGTAAGCAGTGGCTTTTTGAGCACATTCATGTTAAGTAGGTCTGAAAGTCATTACTTTTGGATATGGTGGTTAAGCACTTTAAAAAAAGAAAAGAAAAAATAAAAAAATCAGCTTTTCTTATTTTCCTGGCTGCGGAGCCAAACAGAAATACTCATGTGGCTTTGGCTGGTTTTTATTTTAAAACAACAGTGAAGTTTACACTTGAGATTTTTAATATTGCATCTACTATCTTCTCTTTTATTTTTTTTTTCCTCCAAAACTTTTTACTTCTTTACACAGTGTTATATTGGTAGGATATTTCATATATAAATTGCTTGAATTCTCTTTATACTCTGTTTCTTAAAGAAATGTGGAAGCACACAGACTGTGTTGAAAGAGAACTAGAATTCTTTTTGCTGCTAGTCTTTCATCTTGTTTTATTTTTTGCCTTTTTGGTATTACATGTATTAAATAGGATGAACTTTGAAATCCTGATTGTTTGTATCTTTTTGTGCAAATAAAGATTTCTTACTGTGGGGTAGCACTTTGAGTCATATTTATACTTGCTAGGAAACCTCTAAACATGGAAAGTCAGCTCTAATAAAGATTGTCAATAAACTATGAACAGTGCGGTTACTTAATTGCTTCATTTCTAGTAGTTTTATACTCCTGCTGTTCTGGGTCTGTGTTCAGAAGCACCTGCTTATTATTCCTTATTATGCCATTTGCAGGAAAACAGCATCAGAAAGATGTTTTCAAAGCAGTGCTGTACTGAATTATGGAACAAATGAACTGCAACTGCTGAGAAAGGCTGGAGTTTCAGCTCAGTCAGAGCTTACTGAAGTACGTTGAAAGGCTCCTGGTAGTCCCAATGGAATTTCTTGCACGGGTGTTTGTGAATAAGGCTAGTAAGGATAACTTACTGTCTCTGTGGGGAGGATTTTGATTACCTGCATTGTCAGCTTCAGCGGGCATGGTGTTGGATTGCTGTTGAGCTGAAAGATTTCCTTAAAAATGGCAGCGCAGTGCCTCACTATGGAGAGAGCAGGGTGTCTCACCTGATGTTAGCAGCCTCATGCACTAGTGGTAGGATGTGGGTATCTTGAAACTTAAATCTCAGTGCATCATTTGCAAGGGACTTCCAGGAAGGCTGGTAAAGTTGTAATGCCAGTGTGTGAAGTGCAGCTTAATTTGGAAAAGTGAGAATGGTTTTGGTTGCCTGCGTGCTTGGGAGAGACACTTGAAAGGGAGTAAGCACAGGAGAAGGGCAAGTGGGAAGAAAGGGGGATTTACCCAATGTGTGGAGCAGAGGCTCAGAGCATAATTGAGGGTGGAAATGCGGGTTTTTAAGCACATTTGAACAATGTGGTTTAGAGGAGGAGGCTGTTCAAGTTCACAGCTGGTTGAAAGACCCTGGGGAAAGAGGGTACAAATGGGGCCTTGATTGCAGCTGTGCTGGGAAATGTGAAAGCTCTGGCTCATTGGTGGAGGTGAGGCTGGGGATTTGTAGCAGTGAGATGGAGCAGCTGAGCCCAGGTGCCCCACTCATCTGTGATGGGACACACGGGTGGGCTGCCTATGCAGGTTGAGAATGGGAACGAGTAGTAGGATGGCAACAGGGACTTGCCTCTGAGCTACTTAAAAGCAACTGCTTTCTTCTAGGAGGGTACCAGAGTTACGTAATGCTGTTGAAGTGGATGGTTTGAAGTAATCTGGTTCAAAGGCTCTCTACAAAGCTCCTGTTCTATTTCAAGCTGAGTTGAGGACTCCTGTTCAGCACTAAACAGGAGACTTTTTCTTTAAAACAAACAAAACCCAGTTCTTTTTGTGTAATAGCTGCTGCTTCCCCCCTGCCCCAATCTTTATAAATGTCCACTGCACTCACAAAATGGTTTCAGTGTTCTAGTATTTTGTTTCTGGTGCTTACTGTCCAGCTAATAGAAGTACCATCGAATCTCTTGCATTTCTGCTAATTTATATGTGAGTTTTCATGTGCTGAATATGGAGTTTCTCTAGAATGATGAGCTGTGTGATTATCAAAGTCACTGCACTCCTAGTGAGAGCATGGGTAACTTACCAATTTTTGTCCATGTTTTATTGTGAATTTTCCTTCTGGCACCGGTGTAAGCACTTTTAGCCTCATCTTTGAGTTTGTGCAGGATGCACCTTTTATTTTTGCTGGTGTAAAAAGTTACACATTGGAAGAGTGGAGCCTATAAATTCTGCAACTTCTGTGAAGCGTTGCTTCCCCCAGCGTTGTGGTCAGTGTCTGCTGCTACTTGCTGGAGTCGGCCAGAGTGATCCATGTGCAACTAGTAGCCTTGTGTTGTGCTGAGAGTTGAAATGTGGTGTCTATCTTGGAGATTGTGATCTAATCTAAGGCATCCTCCTCCGTGAGGATCAGGGCTTGTGAACATGTCTACCTGTCTACACGGGGCCTCATCCGCTTGGTCTTCCTGGTTGGGTGGCCTGTAGTAGATCCTTACTGTAATGTCCGCTGTCCCTGCCCTCTCTTTAATCCTGACCCATAAGCTCTCGGTTGGCTCCTCATCCATCCCCAGGCAGAGCTCCATGCACTCCAGCTGGTCGTTGACATAGAGGGTGACATCCCCTCCCTGTCTCCCCTGCCTATCCTTTCTGAGGAGCCTGTATCCTTTGACATAGATGGATGCAGACAAATTGCTGAGGCTGAGAGGAGGCCATTTGGCATTGGGGAGCACTTTGCTCTTTCACCTAAGCCTTAAGTGTTTCTTCCCCTCCTGCCAGCCCTACTTTGGGACCCTAGTCCGAGTCCCTGCTCAAGCAGGATTGTCTCCAAGACTGGATCAAGTTGTTCCTACTCATTCTGAGCTGTGTCAAGGATAGTGCTAGGGAACTGGCAGTGTGGGGAAGGAATATGGGAATATTCTGTAATATAGCTTTGAAAGGAGCCTGTGGCTTGAAGTGTGAACTAGGTTTGGGCTTTTTTACTTCTGTGCATCTTCTTTGCAGATGGGAGGGACAGGGATAGGGCTGACAGGATGGCAGGGATACTCTTGCAGTGTTTCACAGTGTTAGACATGCGAAGTTCTGTCAAGTAAACTGCTCATTAGTTTTTAAAAATAACTCAATAAATCGTGGTGGAAATCAGTTAATAGTTAAATTTTTTTTTTACTCCCATCTGAGGTGAAAATATTGGAAAGCTCTTTCAAATATTTAATAAAAGAGAGATACTGGCTCATAGCTCAGTTGAAGTTTTAACTTTTAATACCAAAAATTCCCCTCTGGTGCCAGCACAGTAAGTATCATGGATTGCTGCAATTAAACCAGTGCCTTAAGTTATTCATAATACTCTTTCTGGGCAGCATTCCCACCTGCTTAATCTGTGCTATACAAGCGTTTATTAGAACTGACTGTTGAAAAGCGCCAAGCTAAATCAGACACTAGAAAGAAAGAAA